GATCTCCTCAAAGACTTCACTCTCAAGGACGGAACCCAAGTTGAAAGAACCCATCTCTTCCAACGCTATCATACAATTTTGTCTATAGATTGAGCAAATCAGAATGTAATACAAATAAATTCAAATTGCGTAGTTTAAATGTGACATTTTGAAGAAACAGCCTTGTTACCAAAACATCGAGCAAAAATGGCATAATTTGGATTCTATTTTGGTACTTTGTAACTAATATTTTAAATCATTTGATACTATTTGATACATTCTCAAGGACGGAACCCAAGTTGAAAGAACCCATCTCTTCCAACGCAGTATGCTTTTTCAAGATGGGGAGGCTACAAGACAGCTACCAGGAACTGAAATGGGTGGATCCCAATGCCACCATCCTCACCCAGATCTTCCAGGCCTGCTTTCAGATGAGTGCGGCACCCCCTTCGTGGAAGGAAAGCTCCTCTATCTTGCTCCACAAGAAAGGGGACGCCAAGGACCTAGAGAACTGGAGGAAAAATATCAAGATATGCCATGCATGAGAATATGAACTAGAATGGAATGTTCCCACTAGGAATTCAACATACCACTATCTAGGGACTTATATCGAAAACCCTTCTCAGAAGGCAGTAGATAGAAATTACTGAACCACAAGTTTTCGATCTCCTTTTCATAGTCCTTTATAACGCATCTTTCCCTCTTTTCATCCCTCAGAAGTTCCAACATGAAACCCTTCATCGGGAACCAAGTCTCGATATAGTAATGAATATTTTATCTTTACCCGCTTACAACGCCGTCCAATCACGGGAGTGAAGTTAATTTCTAGATTCTTAGAAAACTTCGAAAAGGCTATTGCAAACTTACAATATATGATATGTTTGCAATAGTGCAATATGACCTAGTTTGGCATTTACGGTTATTTTAACCACATAATGATATGTTTTATATGTATTGGTTTTGTTGTGGGTCGGTGTTTTAATTGTCCACCAACTTTCTATGAGGTACTGTGGGTGAGCTTTGTGGAGGTCGCCGAAGTGGACTCCACATTTTGAGCCATTGTGTGGATTCTTTCATGTCCAATAACGGTTGGTCTTCATTTTTGAAGAATGTTCTGTGGATTATTTTTCTGGCCAATGATGTGTTTATGTGTATTTTCTAGAGAGTAGGTGTGTGAACACTCCATGTGTACATTCAAACTCAATGAAACCACAGCAATGTTTGGTCCAATGACGTGGGAGATCACTCAACAAGCATTCTTCTTTCCTCATAACTGAGAGATAGTAAGATAGAGATGGATAAGAGAGAGATAGATAGTAAGAAAGAGACATAGAGATTAAATCTACTTTTATTATATCACAGCATTATATAGTGCTAAATACATAAATGATATATATACAAGGCTTCATTAGCGATGAATTTCCCATCCACGGGAAACACTCCGCCACCGGTGGATCGCCAGAGAGTGCAAAACAAACAAACAAAAAAGTAAATATAGACAAACCCAACAAATATGAGATAAAAGCTCACATAAAACATAACTTCACTCAAACAGAACATGAGTAAAAACCATATACATAGCCAGAGAGGATAACAAACTCATCATGATACATATATATATATTAATAAGTTTGTATTATGTATAAAAGAAAGTCTCCTTCACCAGCAGCCGCCTTCACCTCAGAACCTCCAGATTGGCATGGCAAACTGCTATCTGGAGTGGGAAGAAGAGGAAAACATGCCACCATCTTCCCCTGACTCTGAAGAATCCGGCCCCTCAAGAACCAAGCAATACGACTTCCAAGCTGGAACAAGAGGAACTTCTTTCAGAAATATTAGAAATTTGTCAGGAGTTGTATCAGCTGGCCATGCTGATAGCACACTGTAAGGACTCCAGGGATACAGGATGTACTCCATGTTAGGAGTAGCTGTACATGGTGTCTGTTCCTCATGTCAGAGGAGGGGGGGGCAGTAACAAGTTCACTAAACAACCTGGGCTCAGCTGGCCATGCTGATAGTACCCTGTAAGGACTCCAGGGATACAGGATGTACTCCATGTTAGCTGTACATGGTGTCTGTTCCTCATGTCAGAGGAGGGGGAGCAGTAACAAGTTTACTAAACAACCTGGGCTCAGCTGGCCATGCTGATAGTACCCTGTAAGGACTCCAGGGATACAGGATGTACTCCATGTTAGGAGTGGCTTTTCAGGCTGTCTGTTCCTCATGTCAGACATTTATGTTGGAGCTAAGTCGGCTTGCTATTGAGTACTGCTCCCATTAATGACAAAGGCAAACGTATTCTACTTCATCCAGTGTGGAGATAGGAAAGAAGAAGAAATTATCAGAGAATTATATATCATCCCAAATATTTATATATATTTTTCTCTCTTCTTTAACCATTAACTAAATATCAATATAAGAAAATATAACAATGGAAATACAGTTCTCATCGCTGAGGAAATCAAACTAAAATATCGGGGGAAATATATTGAGTTTTTAGCCAATCGCGGCTTTAATAGCCGTGATGGGGTTCCCCCCGTTGTTCTGTGACCAGACCCCATCAAGATCCCTATTCTGTGAAGCCTGTGTTGGCGGACTTCGTACCACAGCGAGAGGCTGTACCTGTCATTGTCCTGGACCACCAATATATCGAGGTCCTATAAAGGTCCCTGCGGACTCCTACTATCCGAAATCTCACTGTCCATCTAACCCAGTCCCTCGGATGTCTGAAGGTCCTCTACCAGCTGATTTCTACTATCCACATGCTCCCCAGAGCTACAGAACCAGTTGTTGTAACCACAGAGAGAACCATCGCTGCTATAGGCCCAATCATACTCAGCAAGTCTGTAGTCATAATGGAGAACATGGCCACACAGGACAATCCTCCCCAGGAACTCACTAAACCTGAAAAACTTTCTTTCTCAATGTTTCTATTTTTTTTTGCATAAAACAAGATGAAAAGATTATTGATAGTGGACATTGCTGTGATAGAGATATATGGAGACATCTGAGGCTCTTCATTGGACACGACAACAACAACAACAGATAATTGACATGGACCCAGAACAGCAGCTTTACACATCCAAGATAGAGAACATTGCTGTGATAGAGATGTATGGAGACATCTGAGGCTCTTCATTGGACACGACAACAACAACAGAAAATTGACCCAGAACAGCAGCTTTACACACCCAAGATAGAGAACATTGCTGTGATAGAGATGTATTAGTAAATTAAATTTAATTGCCATTTAATTTTATAGAGATGTATGGAGACATCTGAGTCTCATCATTGGACATGACAACAAAAACAACAATACAGTATACATACCCAAGATAGAGGAGTCCAGGGATGATTGACAGGTGTCCCATGGAGCTTCTTGTAGAGCTACTTGACAATATGTATATATAGAGAGAGAGATAGATAGTAAGAAAGAGACATAGAGATTAAATCTACTTTTATTATATCACAGCATTATATAGTGCTAAATACATAAATGATATATATACAAGGCTTCATTAGCGATGAATTTCCCATCCACGGGAAACACTCCGCCACCGGTGGATCGCCAGAGAGTGCAAAACAAACAAACAAAAAAGTAAATATAGACAAACCCAACAAATATGAGATAAAAGCTCACATAAAACATAACTTCACTCAAACAGAACATGAGTAAAAACCATATACATAGCCAGAGAGGATAACAAACTCATCATGATACATATATATATATTAATAAGTTTGTATTATGTATAAAAGAAAGTCTCCTTCACCAGCAGCCGCCTTCACCTCAGAACCTCCAGATTGGCATGGCAAACTGCTATCTGGAGTGGGAAGAAGAGGAAAACATGCCACCATCTTCCCCTGACTCTGAAGAATCCGGCCCCTCAAGAACCAAGCAATACGACTTCCAAGCTGGAACAAGAGGAACTTCTTTCAGAAATATTAGAAATTTGTCAGGCGAAGACCATAGAGGACCCTACCCCTTCTAAGCCCCCGAAGGACAAGAATTAGGAACAGCTCCACCTAGGGTGTCCACATTCATGATCCTGGGGCCCCCCTTCATGGACCTACAAGAAAAGGCGTCATCAACCACTTCGAAGAGTCCATCCGAATCAAAAAATGCTTCTGATGCTGCTGCTTCAGACACAACTCAACCAGATGCACCTCTGCTGATCCCATCCATTGTATCAAAACTGGACAGGATTTGATAATAAATAAATACATTATGTGGTAGTTATCTAAGAATGTCAAATTATTGACATACATGAGCAGTTTTCTCAGTTATGAGGAAAGAAGAATGCTTGTTGAGTGATCTCCCACGTCATTGGACCAAACATTGCTGTGGTTTCATTGAGTTTGAATGTACACATGGAGTGTTCACACACCTACTCTCTAGAAAATACACATAAACACATCATTGGCCAGAAAAATAATCCACAGAACATTCTTCAAAAATGAAGACCAACCGTTATTGGACATGAAAGAATCCACACAATGGCTCAAAATGTGGAGTCCACTTCGGCAACCTCCACAAAGCTCACCCACAGTACCTCATAGAAAGTTGGTGGACAATTAAAACACCGACCCACAACAAAACCAATACATATAAAACATATCATTATGTGGTTAAAATAACCGTAAATGCCAAACTAGGTCATATTGCACTATTGCAAACATATCATATATTGTAAGTTTGCAATAGCCTTTTCGAAGTTTTCTAAGAATCTAGAAATTAACTTCACTCCCGTGATTGGACGGCGTTGTAAGCGGGTAAAGATAAAATATTCATTACTATATCGAGACTTGGTTCCCGATGAAGGGTTTCATGTTGGAACTTCTGAGGGATGAAAAGAGGGAAAGATGCGTTATAAAGGACTATGAAAAGGAGATCGAAAACTTGTGGTTCAGTAATTTCTATCTACTGCCTTCTGAGAAGGGTTTTCGATATAAGTTCCTAGATAGTGGTATGTTGAATTCCTAGTGGGAACATTCCATTCTAGTTCATATTCTCATGCATGGCATATCTTGATATTCCCTAGTTGCCCATCTCTGTAGGTATGATTTCCCTATTTCTATGTCCCGGGATAAATGCTAAGACTACTGAGAGCGACAACACCCCCACCAGCCAAGTACAGCTACCCTCCATGCTGTACCACTTGAAGGGGAAGGCATAGTCCCTTTCGAAAAATTCATCAAAGATTTCGAGCTGGTCTATGACCATTGGTCGATGCCAGGAAGAGGATCCTCCTGGATAATCACCTCAGAGGAGCTGCAAGGGAGTTTGCCCTCCAGTCTCAACAGACTCGGTTGGGGTATAACGAGTTGAAGGAGAGCCTGGGAAGAAGGTTTAAAAAAAAAATCTCCACCAGAGAGATGCTGAGCCAATTCTTCTCCTGCAGGCAGAAGGTTGGAGAGAAGGTCCGAGCCTGCAAGGCAGCCAGCAGCCCATGAACCAACTTCTGAGACACCGACAGGATGGCCTGTGGAACTGGAACAACAAAACGTCCCTCCCACAAGCGACATCTCCGCCAAGGCTACACCCTTCAGACCAGAGGTGCACTTAACAAGTATGGCTACCTGCGAAGCGGGCCGAATAATTTTTGTCTCACCCTTATCAGAGAACTCTGCCGAGGAAGCTCAAAGAGATACCTTCTCTGAAGAAACGCGCCCCACCAGTCCTCCAGCATCCAACCCTGCACTGCCGTCATTCCCTGATCCAACAGGAGGAAGCTGCAGACAAACTGCCGGTCGTGGATAACGACCCTCCCAACGTGCAAACGCCACAAGTTTGTGATAGCGAGGTTCTTCAAACACAGCCACTCCACCTAACGACTGCCCTCTAGCCACAAGGTCACCCCTCCTCCAGCCTGATGAACTCCAGCAGCGCTCTCACCGAACATCCCTCACTCCCTTCCAGGAAGAGTGGGATGATACAGATACAGCTGTAAACCACAAAGAACTGCTCTTCTGTCTCATTGAGAACTTAATCAAAGAAGTGAAAATGAGACTGGGAAACCTAACACAAGGACAAAATGTAGGGCACCACCACCGCAAAAACCTCGGAGTACCAGACCATCTGTACCCAGCTTCGATATTTGAGAAGATATTGGGCCAACGCTCCCCAGGCTGCACCATCCCCATCCAGATAATCGAGAAGCATTTTGAAAAATGCATGGTTGGGGACAACACCGAATTCAGCCCTGACCCAGATCTCCTCAAAGACTTCACTCTCAAGGACGGAACCCAAGTTGAAAGAACCCATCTCTTCCAACGCAGTATGCTTTTTCAAGATGGGGAGGCTACAAGACAGCTACCAGGAACTGAAATGGGTGGATCCCAATGCCACCATCCTCACCCAGATCTTCCAGGCCTGCTTTCAGATGAGTGCGGCACCCCCTTCGTGGAAGGAAAGCTCCTCTATCTTGCTCCACAAGAAAGGGGACGCCAAGGACCTAGAGAACTGGAGGAAAAACAGTGCTGATTGTTCTTAGAAAGCTAGGCCTCTGCAGAAGACAAAGAAAGGATAAATAGGAAAATTGATTTACCAGACATTTACACACCATTTAGATCTTTAATAAGGCCCTACACCATCCAGACACTAAACAAATTACCAAAATGAAAAACAAAATCAATGTAATTTACAGAATACCTTGTAACAATTTGCAGCTAATTATATAGGGGAAACCAGCAAACCACTCAAAGATTGTTTAAATCAACACAAATCAGGATTAAGAAATTATAACCCACTGTCTCTCCGTGTTGATCATGCACTGAACAACAATAAATCAACACAAATAATTATTAAGAAATTCTAACCCAGTCTCTCCTTGTAGATCATGTACTCTACGACAACACACTCCGGACTTTGAAAATACAGCTATTTTATACCAGAACATTAAGGAAAAACACTGCCGATTATTCTTAGCAAGCTGGGCCTCTGCAGAAGACAAAGAAAGTATAAATAGGAAAATTGATTTACCAGACATTTACACACCATTAAAGATCTTAATTTTTTGTATTAATTACAATAAATTTTCTTTCTTCCCAACAATCATTGAGTTGCAATAGTTTTACTTATGCTGGTTACACCGTCCAGTGATTCGAATCTTGTTTTAAAGATTGACAAACACAGTTGGCCATGTGTCCATGAAGAACCCTAAACAGAATGATACCATGAACCCCAACATGGTCTCCGGTGTTTCAGTAACATCCATCCTACCACCAAATACTCTCTCTCTGAACTTTTTGGCTCTCCTCCTCCTTCTAAAATGATATTTGTGGGCAAAACACAGTAATTATGAACACTACAGATTACAATACTAAGGTAGAAGGTTTACTTCAAGAAATCTATTAACAAATTGCACTAAAGAATTTAAATAATAAAACTTGACAAAATGGTGTATATAAAAACTAGAGAAAAAACATTTGAAAATTTAAAGGCCGAAAGCAAGAATTTACCAAACTCTTATGGCCCATAAAAGTACATAAGCCAAACATATTGTTGCATCCTATTGTTTCTTATGCTGGTTTACCCCCTCACTATCATCTCTCCCCTCCAGAAATTACTTCCCCACACTGTCCCAAATTCTACAGTAGCTGCAGAAACAATCAGAGACCTTTCAACTTCTAATAACAGCCGTATGGTATCTTTCGACATTGAATCACTCTACACTTCAATCCCACACAATGAAGCTATTCTAGCACTCCAAAAAGTTATAGAAACCCATCAAAATCTTGTTATTTCTTTCTCCAAAGAGGTTTTAATTGTTTAATTAAACTCTTTGTTTAGAACACAATTATTTCAGACACAAAGATAAATTCTACAGACAAATCAAAGGCTTACCGATGGGAAACCCTATCTCATCGCCATTAGCGAACATTTTCATGGACCAAATTGATTGAGTTGTCACTGAATCAAAGCAACTCAAAATTATTTTTTTGGAAGAGGTACATAGATGACATTTTTTTGTATAACAGAATCAGATATTTCTGTAATTTTAAAATATTTGAATAATTTAAGATCATTTTTAAAATTTACGCATGAAATAGAAAATAATAATTATTTATCATTTATATTTAGATAAAGAGCATTGATACTTAGAATGTGAACAGACGAATGATCATCATCATTACTGATTTTGTTTTTAAGGTGAACGGGTGAAAAGATTGACATGGAAGATGAAGAGTCTCCTGAGATGAGTCAGTGCTTCACATCTACTTGGGACAACACTACTTGTGACAGTGAACCGAGGACATTCCAGAGATCACCGGAACCAGTAAAGACCAGGAGTGGAGGCGTGATAAAGCCGCCAGACAGGCTAAACCTCTAGAAGAAAAGGGGGAGATGTGTTGAGAATAAGTTACCATCTGACAACCCATCATTACTGTTTACCTTAGGCTGGCGGAAGTTCCGGCATAGCTGTGATTGTTATAAGTTAGATAATATTGCCTTGTAAATAGTTAAATAAATAAAACTAAGCGATATAAATCCTTAAAGTTCCTTTTTTATAACAAAGCATAACACCATACAGAAACATGCCTGATCGTCAACCTGGGTTTTAGCTTCAGTCCAGCCAACTACGTTCTCGACCGCAACAAGTATGTCATATTTTAAATACGAAATCTACAAATATTTTATAGATATCGATATCAATTGTACCCCTTCCCCACTAACAATAGAGCTGTAAGGACATTTTTGACTTAATAAAGATCTTTTTTTAGCACACACACAGGAAATTATTTATTTTTCAATTATTGGACCAGTACATCATAAAAACGCTGTGGTTAAAGCTCTCTCCAAAAGATTAGAAACACATTGCTCATGAAATAATGAAGAGAAATAGAATCTTCAGAAAATGATGCTAGCCCCAAACCCGACCTGTCACCATGAGATTTTATGCTTTCACCACCTCCACCCTCTATAGCTTACACAGTTGGTACAGACTCTGCTTCCTTGTCCCTTGATTGGGCGGCTAACAACTACAAGAAATAGAATCTTCAGAAAATTAAAAAACAACAATTACCCAAGCAAATTTATCGAAAAACATTTTTCAAACCAAATCTCCACCATTAAATAACACACCTGATCAATCAAAAAAGCTTTACTGCTCCCTCCCCTACAGCTACGGCTCTGAACGTATCGCCAGAGTCCTAAAGAGATACAAAATCACAACCACCTATCAATCATCTTTAAATATAAAAAAGGCCCTACGCCATCCAGACACTGAGCAAATTAACAAAATGGAAAACAAAATCAATGTAATTTACCGAATACCTTGTAACAATTTCCAAGCTAATTATATAGGGGAAACCAGCAAACCACTCAAAGATCTTATAAATCAACACAAATCCTGCTGCACTTGACTTGCAAGCGACGCAAAAACTAATCGAACAATTCAGTGATTGTAAGCCGTCATTTTGCAATTTGCGTAAATACGTTGATGAAATTTATCCTAAGCAACCAGGAGGTGTTTGGCGGACGAGTGAACGACTACTGGTGGCGTATCGAGTTTCAAAACAGAGGTAGTCCACATCTACATATAGTGGTTTGGTTAGAAAACAATCCATCATTCGATCGTGTATGCTCATGCAAAATATCATCCGAAGATTCAGAGATTCATGAGCTAAATCAAGAAGTGTCAAATTCATCATCACACTACTTCTTGTACGAAAAATGATTCACCAACATGTAGGTTCAGCTTCCCACGTCAGGAGTGTGCGGAAACCCGAATCGTAGCACATTCATCACTTGATTTCGTACGGAACGGTGGAAGACTAAGTTTACTCAAGCGTCACCAGGAGGACCGATGGGTTAACAACTATAATCCAACACTCTTAGGATTATGGAAAGGAAATATGGATATTCGACCATACGGATCAAATGATGCCATCACATTTTACATAGCAAAATATATATCCAAATCAGAGCATACGGAACTAGATGCAGGTGTGGCTCAAGCAATTAGGCAGATTAAACGGGAGGAATCCAATATATCACACAAGCTCTTCAAGATCTGTATGCGGAGAGGACTTCAGCCTATATACATCTTCCTAGATCACAAGTTATTGATGACAATCCTAATGTGAAGAAAACAATCCAACCAATCTATGTGAGAACAGAACAACAGGACCTGTTAACCAAGAACCTCTCCGGTCTCCGCCTAAATAACCAGACCAAGATGCTGGGAATGGACTTCACACAGGACTGAATTTTTAATTAAAGGGAGGTTTGATAGACGATAATTAAATATATATATATGTAGGATTTGATTAGGAAGAAGCTGGCAACACGGAATCAAGAAGAGCGTTTACGATGACAACCGAAGAATAAGACTTTTTACTTTCTCTTTCTTTTTAATTTTGTTTTAAATTGTAAACTTTAAAATAAATCCATTTATATCTACTCCTAGTAGATCCTACAACATCAACAAGAAGCGTACCATGCAGGAGATACTGGATCAACACTCCTCAGGCTGCACCAAAATGATCCAAATAAACACATAGTTGGTGATAACATTGAATTCAACCTAGATCTCCAAGGGCAGAGCCCAGTTGGAAGAACCCATCTCTTCTAATGCAGTATGCCTTCTCAAGATGGGAAAAACTGCTCCAGACAGCTAGCTACCAGGAACTGAGACGGGTGAATCCCGATGCCACCATCCTCACCCAGGCCTGTACCACTGCGACCCTTTCTCCATTGAAGAAGCAGACCTGCTGTTAAGGAAGCTAGGGAAGAACCTGCCCCATCAGGCCAGCGACGAGGTGCTCTTCATTTGGAATAATATAAAAAAGCAATTATATATACCAAAAATTCCATCCACGAACAATAGACAGGTCTTAACCCCGAACATATTTTGCTCCTTACCTTACACCTATGGTTGTGAATGAATAGCCAGAAGTTTAAAAAAACTCAACTCAAGATATCAACCCAACCAAAATTAAAGAAGCATCTTCCGTCACCCTGATACAAAACAAATCTACAAGCCAGAAGATAGAGTCAATGTAATTTATAAAATACCATGTAAATCCTGTCAGGCAATATACATAGGAGAAACCAGCAAATCTTTATCTGAAAGAATTAACCAACACAAATCCGCACTAAAGCACCATAGTCCGACATCCCTACTGGTAGATCATGCATTCAACAATAGTCATACTCCAGACTTCGATCACACATCTATAATACATCAAAATATCATAGAAGAACATTGCCGATTATATTTAGAAAGCTGGAGCTCAGGAGAAAATAAAAATAGTATTAATAGAAAAATTGACTTACCAGATGTATATACTCAGTTTAGAACCTCTTAGATGATTGTTATTTATATGTTTATTTTATTTTATTTTAAATCAGATATTTGAATTAAATAAAACGAACGAATCCGTACCAATAATTTCTTTCACACTACCGTTTACTATAAGAACAACTCACCCCCCACACTACACACATTATAGCTCCCACTGCCCCATTACCCATAAAATAAGCTTAGCGAAGACCCTTACCAAGCGGATCTTCACACATTGTTCACTTAACATATTCCAAAACATTGAGATATCAAATAGCCCATTTGACAAATGCCAATTACCCTATTTCATTCATCAACAGACACTTTTATAACCCAAATTACACAAAACCAGCACAAATTAACATAAGTCACTGCACTCTCCCCTATAGTCCACAATCAGTCGCTATAGCTTCACTACTGAAGCCATACGGCATCAAAACATTCTACCAAAAGATTCTCCCGAAAGATAAAAACCTGCAATGCCCTCACTGTGGTACAGAGGACGGTGGACCACCTTGCTACAAACTCTGGAAGATTCCCTCTTTACTTCATTTCCTGCAGAAGAAGAAACAAATTCATCATCAGGAGATGAAGAATCCTCTGTTGAAATTCAGAATTCAGTATCAAATACAAGATACAACTTTAGACACACACATAGACCAGGCTTCTATTATGAACCAAGTTTGAGTGAAGAAGAATATGAAGAAAATTCAATTATTCAAGCCCCAAATGATACTCTATTAATGACTCAGTATCAAAATCATATACCAAAAACTTATAAAGAAGCAATTGAATGCCCACAAGCAAGTAAATGGACAGAAGCCATGAAAAACTAAATAAATTATTTATTAGAACACCATGTATGGGACATTGAACCACTTCCTAAAGGAACAAAACCAATCAAAAGCAAATGGATTTTTACCATTAAAAATGACCCCATAATAGGAAAAAGATACAAAGCCAGATTGGTTGCAGCTGGTTATTCTCAAAAATATGGAATTGATTACTCTCAAACATTTTCACCAGTTATAAGTTCTGATACACTCAGAATATTACTTTGTTATGCTGCAATGCAAAATTATGATTTTAAAAATTATGATATTGAAACAGCATATTTGTATGGTGACCTCCAAGAAAAACAATATATGTTACAACCTGAAGGTTTTGAAATGGGTGATAAAAACATGGTTTGCAAGCTCAAAAAGGCAATATATGGTCTTCATCAATCAGCCAAAGTATTTTATGACACCCTCAAAAGTCATCTTTTAGATGAAGGTTTTAAAAATCTAACCTCAGATAAATGTGTATTTATATATGAGAAGAACAATTCTAAGATAATTCTGGGAATATGTGGATGATATTCTAGCCATATATTCAGATTCAAATATACTAAATCAAGCCATATCAATTCAAACTCAAGGAAAATACTAAAAATACCAATTTGCTAGGAATGGAAATATACAAAGAAAATGGCAAAATATTCATTAACCAGAAAGCTTATATTGAAAATATCTTAATAAAATTTGAAATGGAAAACTGCAAAACTAAATCAACACCTTTAGATGTAAATATTGATTTTTCACAATATGACAACTCTAAGAAATGTGATCCAAAAAAATACCAAGAAATCCTAGGAAATTTGCTGTTTCTAAGTGTAAAGACAAGACCTGACTTATCTTTTCCTCTGACACAGCTTTCAAAATATTCACAGGATCCTAGGGAAATTCATTTTGGTGCATTAAAAGGAATTTTTGGATACTTGAAAAACTATTAACTTTGCCTTATGTTACAATAAAGGTAATACCCAACTTACTGGCTACTCTGATGCAAGCTGGAAAGATGGTAAGTACAAAAGGAAATCAGTTACTGGATATTTGTTTACTGTTGGAGACAATTTGATATCTTGTGTGTGTGGAACTCTAAATTTCAAGCACAACCTTCACTTTCTACTTGTGATAGTGAATTACAAGCATTGTTAAGTTGCTATAAAAGTCAATCCATTTACAATACATTATTGAGGAACTATTTCAATTAGAAAATGGCTATCAACCCACTAAAATATACTGTGACAAAAGGTAAATCCCAGGAATGATCGCTGGATCTGTAAAGACCCCTCAGAGATACCTGTCGTGATGCACACGAAATTTCCTGCCTCCGTAATGGTCCTTGGCGTTATCAGCAGTGAAGGTGATGTCATGCCTCCCCATTTCTTTGAGAAGGGCCTTAGGATGAACGCTGACACCTACATCAATGTTCTGGAGACCGTTGTGAAGCCTTGGATGGACATGGTGGCCGCAGGAAGGAAGTATGTCTTCCAACAGGACTCAGCTCCAGCCCATAAGGCAAAAAAGACACAATCGTGGCTGACACTTAACGTCCCTAGTCACTGGGGTCCTGATATTTGGCCCCCTAATTCTCCAGATTGCAATCCCCTCGACTACTATGTATGGGGCGTTGTTGAGAGAGATGTCAACAAAGCTCCTCATACCACCATCCAGTCTGTCAAGAAAGCAGTTCACACGGTGATGACCCAAATGGACAAGGTCATCGTCGCCAAGGCCTGTGCTTCATTCCGCACTCGCCTCGAGACTGTTGTAGCTAATAATGGAAACTACATTGAATAAATAAAAACTATATCCTTTTATCTACTACTGTGTCAAATTTCATTCGGATATTTTAATTTTTACTTGCAAAAAATTTCAGTTAAAATACCATTGTTGAAATTCCCAATTTACCTGGTACACCCTGTATACAATCTGAAAATAATCTTTCTGATTTTTTAACTAAAGCTTTAACTAAAAACTTGTCCCGCCATCTTTCGGAGGCTATTGAAACTGTTTTGAAATATGTATATATTTTGATAATCGATCATTTTTGTGTCATTTACTGGGGGCAATTGTGAATATATATATAAAAATGACCAAAAATGATTTGACAACTCTGTGTTTTGTGTGCTTCTAACTTGTAAATTGTAAACAAGTAGTTTATAATATTTTTTTGTTCTTTCCTGTTTTTAAATTGGATCTTAAATAAAATAATGATATAAAAAGGTAATCTTTTTTTAACTCAACCCAAATTAACACAATGTGTCCACTTCAACTTGGCTAGAAAATATAATTTCATAGAGAACAAGAAGATAAAGCTCCACAAAATAACAACTAAAATTGAAAATTCATATGCAAAGATAATAACAGGCCTGCCAAAGATAAGCGATATCAATATCAGAGCTAACAAACCTGATATAATAGTATATGACAAAATAAAAAAAGACATAACAATCATAGAGATAGGCGTTACCTCCCAAGATAATATCCAAACTACGGAGCTAACAAAGAAAAGAAAATACCAGCTACTGGCGAGGGAAATGGCCCAAACTGAAAAAATGCCCGTAAAAGTAGTGCCGATAGTCTTAACATGGGATGGAATAGTAACCAAATATAACAAACAATATAGGAAGGAAATAAACATAAGAAAAAGGGACTTCTCATATATTCAATCCTTGGTCTTAAAAAAAGACTGGAAATTAACTCAACAGAAAAGAAGAATGAGCCTCACGATAAGTCCCAGAGAAATAAAGAAATAGAAGCCATGGATAGATTGCTGGAATGATGCTGGTGTGTGAAGACAAGGAACACCGGAAATGGAGCACAGGACGACCATAGAAGAGATCCAGGAGAACGACCTAGAGCAGATGACACCTGACAGACAAGTCCTTACAACTACACTGAGAGGCATAATGAAGTGGTGAGATGCATCTACTTCAATCTGTCAAGAAAATTTCACTGAGAACAACAGAATAAAGCTCTATATATATATTATATTATATAAAGGACTATAAAAACTCCTGGTTCAGTAATTTCTATCTACTGCGTTCTAAGAAGGGTTTTCTATATAAGTCCCTAGATAGTGGTATACTAAATTCCTATTGGGAATATTCCACTCTAGTTCCCATTTTATTAATTACTATCTTCTCAAGTGCGCATTATCTCCACACCTAAGTGGTAGGCCTCTATGAGATTAGTTCTCTTGGAAGGGACATTACTGTTGCTACCAATGACAGGAATGGAGTCGAAATCTTCTTCCTTTTCTTGCTAAATCTGTAGGCATGATTTCCCCATTTCTACGTCCCAATGTTAATACTTGGGGCAATGTAGTTACATCACCAGACCATGGTTACTGAGAGCGACAGCACCCCCACCAGCCAAGTACAGCTATCCTCCATGCTGTACCACTTGAAGGGGAAGGCATAGTTCCCTTCAAAAAATTCATCAAAGATTTTGAGCTGGTCTATGACCTGAGGATATTGGACAACGCCAGGAAGAGGATTCTCCTGGATAATCACCTCAGAGGAGCCGCAAAGGAGTTTGCCCTCCAGTCTCAACAGATTCGGTTGGGATATAAAGAGTTGAAGGAGAGCCTGGGAAGAAGGTTTAAAAAAAAAATCTCCACCAGAGAGATGCGGAGCCAATTTTTCTCCTGCAGGCAGAAGGTTGGAGAGAAGGTCCGAGCCTGCACGGCAGCCCAGGAACCAACTTCTGAAACACCGACAGGACGGTCTGTGGAACTGGAAATCTCCGCCGAGGCTACACCCTTTCCAGCCTCACAGCCAGTTGATGAACTCCAGCAGCTCACGCCCTGAATACCCCTCACTCCAGGAAGAATGGGATGGAAAGTGGACAGCTGTGCCTGACAAGTTTCATCAAAGGAGTGAAAAAACGAGACTAGGAAACCTGACATGAGGACAAGACCTAGGGCGACACCACTGCAGAAACCTTGGAGTACCAAACCATCGGTACCCAGCATCAATGCTGAGAAGGCGGCAAAGTTACAGAGGTCCTACAACATCAACAAGATGCATACCTTGCAGGAGATATTGGGTCAACCCTCCCCAGGCTGCACAATCCCAAACCAGATGATAGAGGAGCAATTCGAAAAACGTATGGTTGGGGACAACACCGAATTCAGCCCTGACCCGGATCTCCTCAAAGATTTCGCCCCCAAGGAGGGAGCCCATATGGAAGAACCCATCTCTTCCAACGAAGTATGCCTTCTCAAGATGGGAAAAACTGCTCCAGACAGCTACCAGGAACTGAAATGGATGGATCCCAATGCCACCATCCTCACCCAGATCTTCCAGGCCTGCTTCCAGATTTCCAGAAGGAAAGCTCCTTCTGGAAAAGGGGACGCCGAGGACCTAGAGAACTGGAGGCCTATTGCGCTGGGCAACACGATCGCAAAACACTGCGGTCCTGGCGGATATGAATGGGTTCATATCACCCAGATCACGAGACAGGATGGACTGTTGGAAGAAAAAGCCAAGAAAAAGTCATCACATCACCATTTATAAACCAAAGAGGTTTGCAAATTTTTTTACTGATATATTCACATAAAGTAACTCAATTTCTCAATATATCAACAACCATAAGAACACCCAATTACCAAAAAGAGCAGGTTTAATCTATGAAGTGAAATGTGACCAATGCTATGTAGGACAAACATCCAGAACTTTAAAGAAAGGATAGAAAACCATGAAATGCAATAAATTTTACTAATATATTTAAAAAGCATGAAAACCATGTAAGCCTATTTCACAATATATCAACAACCATAAGAACACCCAATTACCA